CCCCTCCCACAGACCTACCCCGCCCTCGCCACCGACCTCTCCGCCTCCAACATCTCGCACACGCTGCTCTCGCTCTTCGAGCCTCCCGGTCCCTGGTACGTAATCCGAGGCGCCGCAGTGACGCTCTCCCCGTCGACCGCCGCACCCAGCGTGTCGCGCTACGCAGGCGTGAAGAACATGTGGGCGGTGGAGCAAGTGCCGTCGATTGGGATAGGGTTTCACACGTTTGGTGTGTTGCTGGGGGCGAAGGTTACATAGGGCTGGACGAGATGGGATAAGATAGGGCAAAAGGGCGTTGAGAGGATGCGGAGAAGAAACGACGAGGTACAAAGCGTACAGGCGCGTTGGGAACTTTTGGGGGGATAGGACCATAATTCTATTTCGCAACCGGCAAAGCAAGCAAGCATAATTCATGGGTTCCATGCAACCAACCACCACCTTTCCCCCAACATGCCCGTCCGTTCATCGATCATCACTCGACACGACGCAACACTCTTTAAGGAAAAACCAAAAACGAAGGCAAGGCAATGACATGACATGACAAATGAAAATAACCACTAAGGAAAAAAACTGTAGCATGACCCCAACCCCTGAAGAAGAAAAGACTTTCGATTCATGTTTCGCTTTTCCATCTCTTCCGGAGAAGAAACGGAGGGAGACCAAGGAAAAGCTCCAGCATGTTGTTGTTGTTGTAGTAGACGCATGATACCCAGCGTTCCCATAACTTACATCCCCGGAACTCTCGGCCGCCACGAACACCACATCGGGCAACCTCGACGTCCTGACAATAAGGAAAAGTGTGTGAACGACAGACATTATTAAGCGCCTCCCGTGCGAAGACCGTAACCGCCAAAAAGACAGGCTGAGGAAGCAGGCCATCCCGCTCCATCCATCACTCCCTCATGCCTGCGCTTCTCGCACCCAGATCCGAGAATCGACGTTTCGTAGAATTATACATTTGGACGTGAGGACAACCGTCAATTGCGTTCCAACCGTAAGTCGTGTCTTTTGACCAAGAGATAATGCCACCGCTAATGCAAGACTGTCTTTAACCTTGGCGCATGTGCCTCTTTCGCCGGCGAGTACGGGACAAAAGCCAAGTACAGACCGTCCGGGAGCGCCCACTCCATGTTGCATAAGGAGCGCAGCCGTGGTATTCATCACCAGAGTCGCGTAACCGTACTGAAAGGTAGGGAAAGAAGGGATGGCGTAACAAATGTCGAGGGATCTGGTGCCGAGAAAGGAGGGTGGGGAACGATATCGATTGTTGCGGGACAATGTCGCAGAGCTGATTCGGGGTCGGGCTCGGGGAGGGCTTAACAATACATAATCGTTTATCGACGCCCAAACCTGCTGCACAAGAAGTTCGCATGGATTCTGTAGGTGGTGTAGTAGACTACTTCTGGGACTTCTTGTTGCGAGGAGACATCGGTCTGCCGCTGCCAAGACTGGGGACGTACTTTTGTTTCTTCTCGGCTGGCTTCAGGATCTGGCGCATTTGTTAGCATTGAGAGGGCAACGACCCGGTTCTCATTGCTCACCTGGAAGGAGCAGAGCAAGCTCTCGTCGACGCTCATCATTGCACCCGCGTTGTCAAATTCACCGCAGTAGTTGGGCGCGCTGAACAGAGTAACGAGCTGGCGTTTCGAGAAGAACTCGTAGCCGTCCTCCACGACCTGGTGGGCGCGGCAGATGAGGTCCATATCGTGCTTTTGCAGGAAGCGGGAGACGACGTCGGGGCCGAACGTGAAGCTGACACCTCTGTCGTTCTCGCTCCATCCGGTAATGTCCTTGTCGGGATCGGACCACAGGAGATCGCAGAGGAGCCCGCAGTCGGGGATCTGGGCGCATTAGTACCGGAGCCGCCAGATGCGCGCAGAATATGCAAGGACAAGGGTCACTTTGAGAAGGGGGTACACACATCCGTGGGTCGCATCACGCGCCTAATCTGCTCCATCGAGTTCAGGTCGGGGCTTAGACCGCCGTGCATGGTGAAGATCTTCTCGTCGATGATGGCCGCAATTGGTAGGCAATTGAAGCAGTCGGTGAAGGTCTTCCACAACTTGATGTTGTACCTCCGTTTGCACTCGTCGTAGAACCCGTAGATGCGGTTGATGGACGCGCACTCGTGGTTGCCGCGGAGGACGAAGAAGTTCTCGGGGTACTTGATCTTGTACGCGAGGAGCAGGCAGATGGTCTCGAGGGACTGCTTCCCACGGTCGACATAGTCGCCGAGGAAGAGGTAGTTGGCTTCCGGTGGGAATCCGCCGTACTCGAACAGACGGAGGAGATCGTAGTACTGGCCGTGTATGTCACCGCAGATCTTGATACCTAGCGTCAGCAATTTATCGAAGGGCGTGGCAGCGCCTAATGGGTAGGGACAATGTGTGGTACTGACCTTTATCGGCGCCTCAAGCTCGAGCAAGATAGGCTGCGAGATGAAAATTTCTCGGGCCTTGGTGCACAGGTATCGGATCTCCGTCTCCAGCAGCTGCACCTGCTTGCCAGGCCTGCTGCCCCGCACCTCCAGGAGCCTGTCTATGATGGAGTCCAAATCCACCTCATTTTCCGCCATAGCTGGGACTTGCTACTGGCTTTGGGAAGGGAGTCGAAGGCCTGTAGGCAAAGGCGTACCTCGCGCGGGGTAGTGGGGGGAGAGTTTGCGCGGGAGACCTTGTGTTGTTGTCCTGCGCAGGGAAAAGCGTGTGAGCGAGCGCTATGAAGGCGCTGGGGGCAACTGGGAGTGACGCAACAGAGCCACCGCGCTGGCAGGCAGGGAGGTGACTCACGGTCGTGATGTGTGGGAACGGCGGTTGCAGGGCAGGAGAGAGAGAGGGAGAAAAACACGTACCTCTAGACTAGTGAATGCCTGAATGAGACGCGGGTGGCGGCGGCGCTCGGGTTGTGGAGAATGGCTCGAAGCCCTTCAGAGGTAGCCAGGCGGACACCGGAACGACGCGACTGTCTCGGCAGCTGCGGCTTGTAGCGGTCAATTACCGACGTCAATAGCAGTGTACCTGAGGCTGCCCTGGGGAGAGAGGCGGGCGCGCGACGGGGGCGAGAGGGTGAGACGTTGTTGTGGCCGGAGGCTCTCGAGTGGTATGCACCTGGGTTTCACCGCCAAAGTCGGCGACGGCGGCTCTGCGGGCGAGGAAGGTCGCTGGGGGCGCGCGTGCGGGTGTTCTATGCGGCGATGCAGGGCAGAGCGTGCGGGTGCAGGCGTTTTCTGGAATGTGTGCAGTGCGGCGGTGGAGTGTTGCAGGGTCAGAGTTGGGCGCAGTAAGTTGGTGCTCTGGAGTGCGGCGAGGGCTTGGCGGAATTCGCGCACGAGGCTAGACCCGACTGGGGCGGCAGGGAGGAGGGAAGTCAAAGGGCAGCGGGTTGCAACAGGAGCGCAGAGCGGGTGCTCGTGGAGAGAAAACTCGTCGCGGACGCAGGAGAGGGCAGCTTAGCCAGCTTAGCCAGGCGTAGTGCGTCTTTCACGCTATGCTCATCCGCCGCCCTCGCGCACCGTCGCCCAATTACCCTGTTCAATCGCATTACAAAGGCCTTCACCCAACGTCTATTTCTGCCCTGTCCTTAGCATATTACGCACGCAGCCCCAGAGACCCTCAGCAACGCCACCTCCTCTTCTCCACTAGAAGAAAATTACCACGCAGAGACGCTCAAATGCGTCCTTTTCTGCCCTGGCAAGACAACATGCTCGCGTTCCATGGGCCCCCCCTTAGGCACCAGTCATGGCCGCTTCCAGCCGTGCCATCCTGTACAGCTCACCGGTGCACACTAGTAATAACCTGACTAGGCAAGGCAAAATGACACTTCACAAAAGCACTACTAATATAATACCAATCACAATTCTCCGAGGAAGCCACTACCGGCAGACCACTCGTCACGTGCTATACCGTTCACTCCTCGGCTCTTAGAGGGGGACCTGGTAGCAGATCATGGAGATCAAACGTGCTCGTGCAGCAACGTGAGAATGAGATTAAGTAAAAACTACGTTTCAGCTGCCGAAGTTTCGTATTTGGTGGCAGGCACCCGTCGGCCGGCGTCAGCTTACCATGTCACCTGTCGTTGCACGCGACATCATGATAGGAAGTGGGGACTGAACCAGTCTTCCTAGAGTGCTCCACAGCCCTATTAGGTATAAGTCACGGAAACCGTCGGCCCACATATCAACGAAACCAGAACGCTTCATATTGATGCAGACATCTACCCAGATCCCATCATGCCGTCACTCCGCATTATGCAGTCCGTCTTATCAAGCGCAGAAACGCCGCCATCCACCTCTTGGCCCAACACCATGCCATGACTGCAATTTGTCCTTTGGACTCCACTTCGCAAAAAGGCCGTGAATCCATCCAGGAAGACGTTTACCCAACCCAGAACGCCCATATATGGTATAATACAGAAATCGTGAGCTAAAAGGAGAAGAACCTGTCGAAAATGCCAAAAAGACGAGAGATAATGCAAGCGAAAAGTCTTTTAGGTGAAGAAGGCCGCCGGTTGAAGGAAGAAGAGAAGAGCAAGAGCAGAGGGGTTATCGATACAGCGAGCGTAATATCTCGGCGCTCGAGAGTTTCCAGAACCAATATCCATCCAACGCCATGCGGGAAAGGAGGCTCTACATTGAAACATGTGAAATACGCAAAATGAACATAGGAACGCAGAAGAACATCGCGAGCATACAACTCTAGAGGGTGCATAGTGTTGTGTGCGACGCTGTCTAAAGGCCTTCATACCCTAACGGGTCAGTCAACCTCAAGACTGGGAAGAAAGTAATAGTTCGGGGTATCGCGAAAAAAGGTTCAAAATCAAGCATCATCCCAGCGTTCTTCCGCCGGAAACAATTCCTTGACTGGGTGTGCGGGGCAACGTTGGCCTGATGGCGGGAGAGCTGTACCCATGATCTGATGGGTAGCTTGTGACGGATCTGTTGTCCCAGCCGTCATCACCGAGAGCGCTCAGCCAGGTGTTGCCAAAGTCTTGCCGAAGCGCCTCGATTTTCTTCTTGTATAGATCACTGCTGACATCGAACTCCGGTGGGCTCGCAACGTGTTGCGGTACCGGTGGGGTTGTCACCGCGGTGTCCAGCGGTGGCAGATGTTGGTGCCCAATCTGTAAAGCTTGAGAAGAGGCTTGCTCCTGCGTCAAAAGCTTTTTGGCGGGGTCGCCCGAGACATCCTCGCGGGGCTCTTCGAAATGCGGAGCGTTTTCGACAGCGACGTTAGTTGTAGGCTTGGACGGACCTACAGGCGGGGCGTTGTACGTCAGCAAAATTCTTTGATTCAGGTAGAGGCCCAACCTAGCGTAGCGACCTACGTACCTCTAACTTCTGCCGCAGGGGAGGGATAATCGGGTGGAGATGCGAGGGCACCGAGAGTAGAGTCAGTGACCTGGGAACCAATTTCGCTCTGGGTGAGCTCGACGATCCGGCGCTTCGTAACCTTCTTCTTCCTATGCGATCCAGCATGTCCACTCTTCCCGCTTTTTGAACGGTGAAGAGACGTGCGTTGAGAGCTCTCCACCAGCTCGAAGGGGTCATCGATAGCTTTCACTACCTTGGGCGGCGTCGGGGGAGGAGGAAGTTCATCTTCAGGAGGTGGCTTCATGACCGGGACGCTTGGCGGCTCCGGTACCCTATCGACGAGCTGTCTCTTCTCGCTGTTGCTTGGCCCTGTAGAATCTATCACGATATCGTCGGTATAGCCAGGGGTTTTGCGGAAAAGATTGAAGATGGTCACCCTGTAGTTGCTATAGGATTTGCAGAATGGGTTACGATAGACATAAATCTCAGTGATGTAGGGCACCCCGGTAAGTCGAGCCACTTCAGTCGGATCTGTCAGTTTGTTGTCTCGTAGGTCTACACGCTCCAGTGACAGCAAGCGTTCGATACCAGCAATGGATGTAAGACGATTAGACCGAAGATTGAGCGTTGTTATAGCAGGTAAGGGGTTTCGTGCCAGGGAGTGTAAGCTCTCGATCATACAGTTGGAGAGGTTGAGGGCGCGCAAACATGTCAACATCGCCAAGCTGTCAGGGATCTCCGCGAAGAGGTTCGCAGATAGATCGAGCGACTGTAGGGTATTGGCCAGGGGAGCGAGGCTGGTAGCTGAAATATTAGTGAGAGCATTGTCAGCCAGGCTCAGGTGCCGCAGGAATCGCCACATTTTGGAGGGAAATCCGCCGACCATCAGCAGGTTGGAAGAGCTGCCTCTTGGTGTGGTCGACCGCACGCTCGAGCCGGAGCTGCCGGAGGAGCGTCTGATATTCGGCGCGCTGTTTCTTCCGTACACATGTGTGGAGCCGTGTCGGGAGCTCGCGGGCCTAGTGGGCGACACACTACGTTGCCGCTGGACTGCGACCTTGGAGCCTTCTCGAATTGTAGCGGAGTTCCTGCGAAAGTAGAGACACACATTAGCCAATGTCTTTCATCAAGGATAGATGACCTCTTGAAGGCCTTCGGGAACAGTGTTCCAGAGTCGAAACTAAGACATGCTGGTATGTGCAAAACGACGTACCTTGGGCTAGAACCTTGCCTGCCTGTCGGCGAAGATGGTGGGGATTCCGATCGAGCAAGTTGAGCGTGCTTCGTGGCGGGGCTCGCCGCGGGCCAGGGATTCGACGGCGAGGGAGGTGGTTTGGCCGAGCGCCGTCGTCGCTTGTCCATGTCATCCAAAACAATGTTGATAAGGAGATCCGCGGGGTCGTCCACGCCTGCTCTCTTGACTGTGAGGCTGCGCAGGTTCTCTGCGAGGATGTGCCAGCCGTAGAACTGGCGGAAGTCCGCGTCGTAGATTTCAAGCGCGGTGACGTTCTTGAAGGCGTACAGAGGCACAGCACTGTCGAAGGGGAATTCTTCGTACCCAGCAATGAGGCGGGCCTTGTGGTCAGGCGCGAGTCTTAGACAAGGAATTTTGGTGAATGCAGAATAGAGGTACTTCAGATCCTCCTGGAGCTGGGCTTTCTGCTTTTCGGCTTTGGCGACACTGTTGGACGAGAGACGGAGAGAGGACCACAGTGAGGACATGCCAGACATGACGCTGCGAATGCTAGAGACTGAGTGGATTGAGTCGCGGTCCGAGGACCTCGTCTTGTTCCGTTGTGCCTTGCTGAGGAACGACACATAGTTGGTAGGCGATGTGTCACTGTGTATGTTCTCCAACCGCACATTCATCGGTCCCACCGATATGCCCAGGTCTTCGAAACGCGAGAGTAGATAGAAGAGGTGGTGGGGCGTCAACGTGAGCTTCGCCGGCTTGATGGTCTGGGAGGTAAATGTGAGAGAGGGGAGGGACAGGGCGGCGGCCCATACGCTCGAGGAGGACGAGGGAGTCGACGCGCCCGTAGGCGAAGCGGGGGAGACGGTGGTGACTTGGCCATGCTTCGGCGCTTGTCGCTGTAGTTGTAGAGCATTTGCGAGTGCTTTTTCGTGGGTCCGCACAAAGTACGCTAAGTTCTGGAAGACTATGTCAGCACAGAGACTCTGCCCGGGTAGCCACGTTGGCTGTGTATCCGATGGTGATACTCGAGCTATTGCATGTGCTGCAAAGCCCCTCATGAAAGCCTGAGATGTCGCACCTTTATGAAAACCTGCCCATCCTCTGTGTCCATGGCTCTGGTTCTTCACTAGCAGACGATAACTGCATGTAGGGCCTCGGGGCTATTTGTACAGAGGCGCTGACGGAGTGGCCACGATTGAAGAGGCCTTGCAGGAGGGATGCGTGGTGAAGTCTGTTACTCCTTCGACCACGGTCGTCGCTTGGCGGTTCGATGCTTTGGCCGGTATCAACGGCGGCCCGCGGGGACTTGAACGGTCAGCACACTTTTGTTGTTGACGGCCTTCGAGAGTGGCTTTCCAGAGCCGGCATAATGGAGTGGTGTTGATGCAGTGCTTGGCGGGCGCGGGGAGAGTGAGTGAGTGTGTGTAGAGACGTACCGTAGAGTCCTCCTGCTGCCCTAGGTGAAGGACCTAGGTGACGAGCAAATGAGGACGGGCGTCCCAGCTAATATGCGCAGAGAAGGCCCACTGGGCGGCAGAGGGCGCAGATGCAGGCAGCCAAGCGACGGGCTGGAAGTGCGGCCAAAGAGAGGTGCAGGCCGGGCTGCAGAGGACGATAGAGCGCCCGGAAAGCTGCAAGCAAAGAATAGCAGCCGCAGCACACAGTGGCGACGCAGGGAGAAAATGAACGACGACGCCGCTGGGGGTGCAGGGGCGTATCAACAATAACAACGGAGGGAACGACACGCTCGGCGGCGGCGGCGGTCGTATCTCGAGAAATTAGACAGATGCCTTCTCCGAGCGGCGGCCGCGGGGCGCTCGCTTGAGACTAGGCGATCTGGAGGGACGGTGAGGCGCCGGGCGACGCGCTCTTCTGGGGTCCCGGAGTGCTGCGAGGCACTGTGCAGAGGAGAGAGAGAGGCGGCGGGGACGCGGTGAGGGCGAAGAGACGAGATTGCGCGATGCAGGAGCCGACGGGACTGATGTCGCAGGTCGAGTGAGCATGAGTTCTCAACAGTCCAGATACGACCCCGGCGCATCATCTGCCAATGAAATCATGGGACCGCCTTCCCTGTCCCTAGCGCGGCACCACCCATGCCGGCCTGCCAGGACCCTCACCACTACCCTCACCACTACCACCGCGGCGCGCCATCTCTCTACAGATGCTCGAGTATCTTTGCCCTCTACGCCTGGCGATCCGTTGTGTTGGCTTGGCCCGGCACCCCCTCGGCAGGGCGCACCCGTGCGTCCCCTCCGTCGACGCGACCTGCGACCACACCGGTACGGACCTGTTGCTCTGCGGCCAGGTAACCCAGCTCTGGCAGATATCGTCCAGCGCTGCTTCGACGAGCATGCGCATGCTGAGATTGACCCACAGCTCGGGGTATGTCGCGTCCCGGCCACGGTTCCCTGCACGCGCCATGGGAGGCACTCTAGCGGAGCACTCGCAGATACGCTAGCCGGCCAAAATTTGAGGCATCGCGTTCGGGCCAATGCCAGTCGACAACGCGCCTGCGCCTGCCGCCATGCTGCTGCAAGAGAATCAGCGAGAAGTGCGCTCAACCTCACATCGCTACAGCGGCACTACTGGCCCCAGGACCAGTCTTTCGCGGACAGAGGCCGCTGGCAATGGCCGCACGACCGTGTACTGGCACAAAGAGTCGTGCGTTGATGGCGCGATTCCTGTCCTACACAACAACGGCCCGCGTCACATGGGAAAGCCGCCAGCCTGCCGCTTTACTCGAGCACCCTGCCCCGCGCTTGCCGTGCACGCAAACCTCCGCGACATCGGCACCCTGTTGTCGCCCTCCTTGTCCCAGAAGGGTAGTCCACGAGACGCTCATATGACCTCGAGCAAAGCTTCGCCGCATTGAAAGACAATGGGCTGGCGTGCGGCTACCGCGGGGCGCTGATGTAGTTGCGCTGATGTGACACAGGCTTGCCGACTGCTGGACCCCTTCTCCGCTTAGCATACCGCTTCCTGAATGGCTTCAGCGTGTGGTCGACATGCTCCGCACGGGCCGAGCATGGGGGTCTTTTACGTCCACCCCGATTCGACGCCGCCACCAGCTCGACCTGCGATATGACATTATCCGAGACATCGCGGGCACCTTGCTTTCGAGAGATCACCGTCCCCAGAATGCCATCCTCAGCGGGGCATCACGGCTGCTCCGGCGCTTTCCACATGCCGCCTGCGTCTCCATTGCTGGCTTCGGAGCGGCTCCAAGTCGATCTATAATTGACAGCCGCCTGCAACTAATGGCGACTTGAAAATTCGCACCCACACCCCACTTTCCGCTTACGTTCAAGTCCAATTGCATCCGTGCGCCGGGCGGTGAGCAGCCCCGCAACACCAACCTCTCATCGTGCACTCGTACAACAACACTTGGCATTTTCCAAACTTCCAGCCTGCCCCAGATAGCCCAGATCGTGCTCACTTCCTTCGATTCCAACACTCCTTGTCGCGAAAAGCTGCCGCACCTCGGTATAGCTTCATGACCGCGTCGGCTTTGGGCTGGTCTGGGCCCCTCCATCGCTCCGCCGAGCAAGATCTTGGAGCTGCACCTCTTCAAAAGCTTCATTGTTACGCAAGAGAAGGCTTTTTTCGCATTTGCAAAGGGTCTCACCGCCGGACTAACTTGCAGCCCAGTAAGCGATGAACTGCCCGTGGGGTTGCGGCGTAGCATTCTTGAACCGTGCAGCATCCTGTCAACGGGAGCGAGCGAGCGGGCATACCCCGGCCCCGCCTATTCATCCCCCGGTCGTCGTTCTCGCAGCCGAGTACGGGCTTACCACCACAATGTCTACTTCTCCAAATTACGCACATACCCTCCGGTGCCGGCTCAATCTATCTCCGACGCCCGGATAGTGCTGCTGTATACCGTCCCAAGCTGTGTTAGAAGCGTCAAGATATCGTCGGACCCTAGGGCGGATCAGAGGAGCAAGAATGACCGGCAGGTCCCTGCATGACATCCACGTGATATCTACATCTCCACCAAGTCAGTTCGGCGCCTAATCTGTCCGAGATCTTCAGTCCTTCCTTTGAAAATGCGAGGCCCACGTTCTGACAAATTGCTATTCTGAAGATCAGCCAGGTGTCGGGTTGAGCCAGGTAGTTTCAGTTGGGTTCCTTTCATCCTTTTGGTCCCTTGGCGATCCTTCATGGGGAAGCCAACTTGTCCTTTGTCCTTTTGATATTCCGCTACCTTGCTCTTTTCCGCCGTCACAATAGTTGGTTTCACTTTCCAAGGGGTACCCTTCAATTCCGCCTTGATCTCCATCGCTAGTCTACCATTTTCGGCGCTTTCGATAACTTTCCAACCACATTCCCAGTTGGGCGAACACACCAATAGCCCAATGCCAAGCCTACGCATTGCACTGCGTTGGCAGCTTCGGCGTCTACACATTTCGATGTTGACATCATCGGACAGGTCAGAGCTCCACTCACCTTGCATTCGGCCGCGCATGACACTCCATTTTAGTCTACTGCCCGCTACTCGCTAGAGATGACTGGCCAATCGACGACTTCCATTCTACTACACACGAACCTTTGGACCAAAACTTGCTTTTGCTTTGGTTTCGAGATGCTCGGTACATGTTATCCTCAGGGCGACTGTTAGGTATCCAAGTACCCAGCCGCTTCGACGACGAGCGGCAAATGGCGCTGCCGATCTTATTACAACGCGCTTCCAGTTAAACCGAAGAGCCTCTATTATCGCAGTTTCACGTTTGCTAACTCTGACCGCCGAGTTGCAGGCGCCCACCGCCCCCTGCAGCAAACGGTCGTACTATCACATGCTCCTGAGAGCTTTTGCGTGTGTCGTCTTCAGACACCGCATTTCCTTTTCCGGCGAATACCCGATAATGTTCGCACGAAGGCGCGATAGCACACCCATGATTGGAGTAGGAAATTCTGCCCGCTGGCAGAAGAGCCTATCATTACACACAGCAGCATTCGATCATCGAACATACGGCACGACACCCGAAGCTATCCGACCTGCGTTGGACCCCGAGATTAACGCACCGTGACATCTGCAAAGGAATTAAATCCGGACCACACGCATGAAAGCACAGAGACGATCAAGAGCCTCAGTACACGAGTATGGGAATTTGCCGTGGGGGCATTACGAAGGTTTACTCCACGGTATTAGTCTAATACGAGCGCCGATCTGGGGCGTGCCGATAGATCCGAGTTACTCTTCTCGGTATGTGTAACGTCATGTGCCCAGACAGCGCAGCTCAAGGCCTGCAGCTATTGTGGCGCTTCGATAAGCCTATACAAGAGCTTGACCTACTTCAACGTAACACGACAACGGAGATCCAGTCGCCGCAGGAATTTCCGAAAGTGTCTCCTCATCCGGTCTGCCTTATTTGCATTGGGAATGAAGAATTATCGCACGAAAGGAGGCTGCACCATGTGCCACGAAAGGACGTCCTGAAGAAGCACGTGAAGGTGCATTTCAAGGACCTCTAGTATCAGGGTGAGTTTAAATGCCGCGATCCTTCCTGTTCTGAAAAGTTAAATGGTATTGGGCATTTCATGAGGCATGCACTGGATGTACACGGAGTGTGCCATTAATGTAGCGGCGGTAGTTGTGCAGGACCTTAGCAGTTGCAAATACCCTGAAGCACTACAGTGCATCTATGCCATCACGAAACGAGTGGTACTCGCAGTAGACGAAGAAGAGATTCCAGAGGGCATCGAACTCTTGGACATTGTTCTTGAACGTCAGCTTTCTTACTTCTCTGATCTAGAGGTATAGACGGTCTGATTCGGTACCTTGGCAATAGTCCCTGGGCTCAACTTATTGCAATGGTAGCGGCGGACTTCAATGCGGACAATCCAAGACGACCGTTTGCATTGTGGCAGGACATCGACCCTGACTTCAAGGATCTTGTCGTACGGATGATGAATGTGGACCCCACTCGGCGACTCACAGCTAACGAGGCATTGGCACATACGTGGTTCTCAGACGTTCCGTGATAAAAGTCGAAATGGGAAATGGTAGTTAGGCGCGCCTTACTTTCCTGTCTCGGACATGGATTGGATACCTGGTCCCGAGTTCTCCAGCCACGTCAGCGGCTCACAGATGTCCGAGAACAGACATGTGGACTGGGATTCTCCTGAAGAGGGGTGTGTCGTGAGCTAAAGCCACGTTCAAGACTGTGAGACAGGAATTGGGAGAGGAGTAACTTCAACGAAATTGTATTCATTCATGACGAGCGTATCTCTTACAGTTAATTAGGAACGTGATGAATTGGAGACCAGATCGGGGACTATCGAAGACTGAAGAGAGACTTACCACAAGACCAAAAGAGAACATATCTGACGGCGTGTGCACTTCAGCCGATGCGTGCGCCTCTGGACTTCGCCACATCCAATTTCCAACTTGTCTTCCCTTGATAACACAATCTTTTGGTACATAGGCCGCATCCTCAATGTCCGCAACCTGCACTTGCTCCACTGTTATCTCGCCACCCTGGTCCTTCCATTCTATCAAGATGTTGTTCGCCTTGATATCGGTATGAATAATTCCTTTACCATGCAGAGTAGTGATTCCACGCAGGGCATCTCGGAGAATTCGCTTGGTTATGGGAAGCGGAACTTCATTTTGGACAAAAGACAGAAGGTGGTCTCGAAGGTACTTGTATACGAACACGGATTCGTCGGGGCAGGCATCGACAGACACGCGTAGGTAGGGTGAGCTCCGAAGGTCGTCGAACATATCCTTAAAGTATTTGAAGTCGCGTGGCGCAACACTTTTCAAGACGTACTTGTGGTCTCCAGATCTAAAAAAAAAAACCTAACGTTGGTGTTTGTAGGTCTATGTTTATCGGACTTGGGTCTACTCACGTCGCGAGATACACACGTCCCTGGTTCCCAGGTTTGTCTTGAAGAATGCGTTCGACGAGGTAGTGACGGCCTGACTGGCCCAAGACTCGCGTGAGTGCAACCGCTCGTGTAAGCGTTTGGGCAGACATGTTTGTTAAGAGTTAATGACGATACAAATTGGTCAAACGCAAATTGAGTGGTTGACGTTTGTTTTATTAGGCGCGCGCCAGTGGTCGTTGGTTTGAACATCCAAATTCTGCCAACCATTTAATTGATGCTAACAGAACGCTCACCTTGAGTGTTCCATCTTTCAAACTGTAAGTAACGTCTTGTCTGTGAGTGACTAAATGTTTCTGGGTTGCTGTGCGAGTTTGGTGGGACAAAATGAGCAAAACGGAACCTTGTCTATGTGAATCTGGCATCTGGTTTCGTCCGGTGATATCAATATCTGGCGGGTAAGAGTTTGAATCTGGTTGCTAACACGCTGCGCCTTCGCCGGCTCATTGCCCCGCTGGCCGGATCGGTACTCTTCCTCGATTGCCTCGTCCTTGAGGCGGCTAAAGTTGAAGCGCTCTCGCACAGCTTCAAGAAGAGATTGCACGTCACTGATCCCTAAGGCCTTAATTCGCGGCGCAGCGTTGTGCGACAGCTTCTTCATGATCATGGCTGTGTAGAGTTTCTGTCGGCGATACCATTCCTTTGCCTGATCTTTGTTTGGTGGAGGAGCACCATCTTCGGCGACAGAGGAAATCTCAATAAAATCGCACACCCTATTATTCCACTCGTACCGGTCGCTGGGGTTGTCGAGCATCGGAATAGCATTGTAGAGTGTAGTTAAGCAAAATTGCTCAAAGTCCGCGGTGTCGGTCATTGTGCAGGCTCTCGCGCCTTAATAAAACTTGGTGTTAAGGTGCGGTGGAGACTGATGGAGCGTGCCTCTAGGCTAAAATTGACGTGTTACAGCTGCCGTATATAGACCCGTTCAGATGCAGGCTATGATAGTAGAATTGCGGCAAATCTCGCTCTTCGCCCGTCCTGTGTATCTAGGGCCTGGTGGGGGCGATGGTGGGCTCGCTCTGTGGGAGATCACGACCGGCAGGACGTAGGGTGATTATCGATAAAAATTCGTTAAAGGTGAATGGAGAGGACATTGGTCGCAGAAAGTAACGTTCACTATCTCCCTGCTCGTATATGCTGCTGATGGCTCGTTCACCAGATGTACTCTACTTCCAAGCTTTGTTCCAATTGTTCACGTCGCGTTCGCGATACCGTAATTTGCAATCAACGTGCAGCTTCACATATGCGTATAAACTGTAGATTCGCCCACCACGTACGTTCTACATATAATACAGTTTGGACTGGCCGGCCTTTGTCCCTTTAGCAAATAATCATTTTCTGTCATCCACCTCCCATATTCTAATGTTGGCTCCAGCTTAGTCGACTTCCTCAAATCGACCTTCACGCACGGCTTGAGCTACCGGGCTCTCAACATCTACAACACCAGTTGCTCGTAACCTGGGAAAGGTCAGTAAAGAAAGACGGAAAGAGGCCAGAACCGACCTTTCAAATTGAACAAAGAGTCGCTCTGCCTCACGCTCCTTCTCTTCATCAGTCATCTCTGGTATGTGAAGCTTCGGTTCCATGTCTCGTCTCTGGCCTGTAATAGGATTGACTTCAAAGGCTTCCATGCATGCTTTTGTGCCGTTGTCGCTGTTTCCACCCCCAGCCTCGTCATCTAGTGCACCCGATGGGAGCCGTAGGCCATTGAGCTGCAGAAAACCAGCCGCATATCCATTACCCGACATTGTGCACGAACCGTTGTACATCTTTGTCGGACAGCTCAAAGAGTAAGGCTGGAACAAGCTGTCTGAGATTAGGTGCCATTAGTGCAGCAGAAAGCCTCAATAGTCTTGCCGGTAAGGAGTCGCCTGTGCCAAGCACCCTCTCTCGATCTGGGTTGGATGGTAGAAGGAGCGCGCGTAAACGTGCTTTCGGACCGGGTGGGGCAAGCTCCGCAATCGGTACGAGAACTTGCACCAGCGGCGAGACATGTCTATCCATTTCCTCACCATTGTAAGCCCGGGTAGCGAGATCGAGGACACGGACTAATCGATCCATGTTGATGTTACTATCGAACTGTGGAAACAAATGACCCTGTTCGGAATTTTGAGTATTTGTGTCCACGAGGTCGAGCCGGACGAGGGAGTTGATCAGCCACAATATAGGAGGCTATAGGGGAGGTGAAGGAATGGGGACCTTATTAAGTATCTTGAGGATCGGAAGTAAAGACTCGGAGAAACGCGGAGCATGATATGGATAGTGGGCCATTAGGTTATAGAGGAGCTTTAGGCTCTCACTACACGCAGAGATGGAGGTGGCCAGTGGTAGAGACCCTTCTGGATTGCTCGCAATGCGCTTCGCATGGCGAGATATATTCTAAGAAATATTAGCATTCATATGTAGGAGAAATTACGGTCTCCTTAATGTAGCTCAGATCGTACGATAACATGGGAAACATACCGTGTTGGTAATCTCCGCGATATTGTACTTCTCAAAAAGTGGATTAAAATTCAAATCCGTTCCGTATGTACAAAGAAGCAGCAGCCTTGCCGATAGTAATTCATCATCAGGATGGTTGCTCTACGGTTGGTAAGCGATTGTAGGGAGAAGAGGCAGGCCCATAAATAAAGCTGTTGCACTAGAGAGCAAGGTGCAACTATTAGGGTATCAGGCATACCTTCATCCGCTCCACGGTTTCCTTAATATATTTTTCGTTGACGAACATCTGCCTCGTCGGCTCGGCCAGAAGCAAGATGTTACAGAGACACCGCAAAGCAATGCGGCCCGTGGTCGGCGAGGATACATCGAAGCCGTAGTGACAGCAGATGGAGACGCCACGCTCTGTGAAAAGAGGATCTAGTTCATCGAGGCTGGTATGGCTTCTAAGCCGTTGGAGTATGTCATTGAGTTCTGTAAGATATGTTAGCCAATGCCACGTAGGAGCAGGAAATAGCCGTATCTATAAGGGGACCTCAAATGTCGCACGAGCGGCGAAAGGGTTTGAACTGGTGCTGGGGTTATAGGGACAAACGACTCACTTAGAGACGTGATGTTCGTCTTCTCGACGTCAGCCTCCAGCACGTCCAGTATGTTTTCAATGTCATTCCTTTCTTCTATGCAAAAAGTCAACTTCGTCAGGTCCATCCTCTCTTTCTCCAAGTAACCAAGCATGTATTTTTTAGCAGCGGGCGATGCAACTTACCGGAGCCGCAGAACTGGCGAGCCGCCAGCTGGTTGTTGCTTGCTGCCGATGTCATTGCGATAATGTCGTGGGTTCGGCTTGACCGCGTAGACCGAGCGTTCGTGTTGTCCGGGATCCTGCGAGGTGTGTGAAAAGAGGAAGTGGTTTTCCACCAGGTGCCAGGCTTGGCCCATAGGCTGACTAATCTCATCGTTCGGAACAGCACGTTTCATTCCCAGCCCGATCACCTCCTTCAACACACTTCCATCTTAATGTGAGAAGCTGCTAATTGTTTGACGACTTTAGAAATCGGCAGAATTCCAATTAACCACATATCTGATGGAACAGATAGGGTGATTTATAGCGGAGCGACTCCGTGTGTCCCCGGATCCTTCCACAGCCCTTCTACAAGACCTACGCTTCCTCGCCGCCTTCGCCACAGTATAGAGGCAACCTTTCTTCGCACGAAAAGTCGCCCAGGGGGAGCCATGGCAGACAAATATGTCGCTGGCCTAACTCTCTCCCAACACACCGTCTAATCAACAGCAAGGCAGCTCCCTCTAATACCGATACTCGCCGGTAGAATCTGCGAACGCGAAAACCATCCCGTCCACCGAACCCACTTCCCGTCCACAGACGCTCAAACACATAAGCGGCCTCGTCGCACAAAGGGGACACGGAAGGTGAGAGAGGCAAAAGAGGTGGAGGAGGCGTTGGTATCGACCGAGACTCGCCGAGAGAAACGAACGGTCCATGCGCCTCGGCCTCGTCGCAACGGCGAGAGGATGCAAGAGTGCTAGACGACGTTGAGGTCGTTTACATAGGGGGGGATGGGTCCATACAGCGCGTGGTGAGATGGAAGTCGTCGTTGGTGGCGAAAGATAACCTTGTCGAAGAGCCGCCGACGCTGCGAGGAACTGTTAAGGAAAACTATGGGGCGGGAGGGGGAAATGAGCTTCAAGAGGATGGGGCCGGCGAGGAAGCGTTGAGCGACTGGAGTGCCGCCACCTTGAGGAAGAAGACACCAAGGTGTGGGCCGCACCTCTCCATCTACAATTCACAGACCAATTATCTTCTCGACCCTGTCGATCTGTTCCGTGGATTCTATCCGTGGTCAATGTCTGCAGACCGCCATCCTGTTCATGGCACTTGCGCTTGTTCGGGTCCATGCCTAATTGTCGGCTCGCTGTGTGTTCCGTCTGCAACCTCGTAAAGTTCCCCCGCAAAGTTCCCCAGCCCCAGTAAATTTAGACAGCGATCCCTTCCCAACCCGCCACATTCAATGGAGGCATATTCTTGAATCGGACAAACGTGTAACCGAAGAACCAGTCTAGATATTTCGCAAATATCTCGTATCTGAATGGACGCGTACAAAAACGCCATACGTGTCACGGTTATCGTATATATGGTAGCTTGGGGTTCGGTCTGCCGACCGAACATTGTGCCTTTCGGCCCGTTAGCGTAGTGATTTAAACCAAGCGACTCCGCTTCCGTCACAATACGGACTTGACGCGGCATTGGCAAAAGTGGCGACTTTGGGACCAGATTGTACAGAACGGATCTTTCTAAACGCGGGATTCATAGCTTGGTTGGCATACTTCCTTGCGACGACAGGGGAGGTGTGGGAGAGGTGGCTCAGAAAGAGGGCACGATAGGTCGACGTCGCTGCAGCAAAGGAGATAAGGCTCGGAGAGGGGAGTGATTGGAGTCTCTAAGTCACCTTATTGGATACTTCCCTGGACGGGACCGATGTTTCGGTAAAGGGAAGAGGAAAGCAGGGAATGCTCGCGAGCTGACTGGGAACAGAGTGGTAGCGATTTCTTATATGCTTCGTTTTATGTTTATCGTACGCCCCGCATACTCCAAAACGTTGAAGCTCCAGACGCCGAGTGTGCCCAATTCGAGAATGCGACTTCCCCGCCATGCAAGACAATCCCCCTTATCCAACTATGTTCCCCGGTTCTCAGCCGGAGACCTGGGAAAGTGAAGTGCGGCAGAAACACCCCAAATCACCACTCCCTTTCGAGAGACTCGATATCTCGAACCACTTCCTGGGCAGATTTATATTCCTTCTGCCAGCACTTTAAGGTGATAGCACTGCAGGTGTGTTGGTCTTGGGGAAACTGCTGGCTCGCGAATCTGTCTCCCACCTTCTCATACCATCTGTCTTCCCCGTCGATAATATCAGGGAATACAGTATAGCCCATTATGATGAAGTAGATAGTGCACCCTAGCGCAAAGAGGTCTGTTTTAACGTCCGCATTAAAGGGATCGTCTCGAGGGCAGTAGAACCTGCAAGGTTCGCCGCTCCAGCCGTCAAGGAGCACCTCGCCGTTCTCTGACAGTTGTTTCCCCTGGAAGTCGGAAAGCTTAATGTGGAGCCCCTTGTCGAGAAGTAGATTTGTAGGCTGGATATCGCAGTGAAGAACGCGTCGAGAATGGACCCATGCGACTGCCTCCGCAGCCTCTCGGCACCAGACCAGTCGCTGCTTGAGCGAAGGGGGTGGTTTGCCCGATTCGATGTACTTGGCTACAGTTCCGTTTATGGCGCGTTCCAAGTAAATCCCCGTGTCTGAGAAGCCCTTGAGGCCTATAATCCGCTCATGTGGCCCGATAATCTCAAGAAGCTTCCTCTCCACATCGAGACGGGTCATGTCTCCGCCAGGGGCAAGAGGATATTTGAAGACGGTTGAGTCATCCACCTCTCCGATCCATGCACTGGTTCCCGAGGCGAGGACCTGCTTCACTCCTGGGGGATAGTAACGATAGTAATAATGAACAGTTCGTCCTTCATCGTCCACCGTAGGAAGTTTATTATTGGCCGTCATAAGAAGCTGGAAGACCTGAGGAAATTGAAGAACGGCCTGCATGGCCGTTTGCTTGGCTTATTAGTATTTTGCGCCGTGCGCCAATGTGGTCTGTGTGTTCAGGCGGTGTGGCTGAGCCAATTAGCGCATACCTGAGTACGACATCACGTTAGCGAAACGGCAGGCCTGAAATCCTTGTTCACAAGTTCACAATTTGAATTGCCCTAATCCAAGACACAGATTCCACTTATTCAAAGGAGATTTGCACTGAGCTTTCCATACTATGAAATGAGTGCGTAAAATGAGTGCGTATTATAATGATTCCACGCACCAAGAGCATTAATCTCCTTGCAAGGGTTGCCCACACATCCTCCCCTCAGCTAGACCCAGACTTTTCCAGAGTTGATTCAGAGTCAGTACAGAAGTACTACAGTCCAATACCCAGGCGACTCGGCCTAACATGTTTTAGCGTGGAAACGTATGAGGTTTGACTAGCCCGGGCCACATACGCTGTACGGGTGTGTCTAACATTTTGGACAAACATGACCCGGTACCTTCACCCTCGAGGTTCCGAGGTGTACATCTGTATATCCTGTGCAGTCCGGACCTCCAGGATTGTCGCAATGAGAAAAAGAGACATCTTCAATCTCATGCTTCGGCGTTGCGGTACAGTTTTGGTATATCCTGCGGGTGATACGTCGTTCGCACCCACAGGCCATGGTGATGTCTGATATTTGGCCTTAGATGGAGAGTGGAAACTCAAGTCAGCTGCGGGTACCGCGGATTCAGACGTGAGACGAGAACTTGAGTTCTATCGGATTTGGAGCGAGGGCCCTGGTGAGGAGTCTCTTTATAGATTTCAAGTCCTCCAGTGGGCTCCGGCGTCGACCGCCCTCGTAATCTGTCGCTATAGATAACCGTCTTGATATGACTCGTGATTTCCAGTCGTCAGACTAGGTAGACGTTTGTTAATCGTTGTGCCTCCACGCTGGCTGCCTAGATAATGAGCCAATGATGTTAATGTCCGGACGCTGGTCGACCCCACCCAAGCAAGGTTTGCCCTGCGAGTCTAATAGTACTTTCGGTCCAAAGTTGGCGCAGGACTGACTGACATCATTGGTTGGCTGTGTGCGCAATGGATCCATTCGATGGTGATGGTGAAAAGAAACGAGCGGCGAGCTGCTAGAACACCTCTCAGAGGAAGCGAGAGGAGAACCGCCGTGAAAAAGAGAGACGCGAAGCCGAAGAGGCAGCCGCCGCCGCTGCGCTAGCAGCTCGGTTCGCGCTCACCCGCATTCTCCGCAACTCATCATATCTGACAACTCTCAAACGCAGCAGGGGGGCCAGAACACCTCCACTTAGGCATGGGCGACCCGAGAGACTGTATGACGCCCATAGAACCAGTTCCAATTCCCACCAGTTCCCGTTTGAGACCATTTTCACTTCGCGAATCGGAGAAGTCATCTTCACGGAGTTGGATTTTTGCTGACACCTTCGAGAGCATGATTTTTGACTCCCTAGACCAGCTCATTTATTGACACGTCTTCTCCGTCTCGATTTTTGGCGCAGCTATCAGAAAGTAACAATGTGTGAGCTGTACCCGGTATTTCTTATGGATGTGGCGTGCCAAGAAAATGTCTGTGCCTTGAGGGGCTCCAGCCGGAGCCTGGGAAGGCCCGCGTTATCGCCGTGACGAAGCGCTCAAGGCCCGTGCACGCAACGCCTCAATTGAACGCCACCCCATCTCTTAAAAGGGGCCGTGCCTCCCGTGCGATTTCTCGCTCCTTCCCACGACCAACTCCCACAAAAAGCCGTATTCCTCTCAATTGCCCAACCAGTAACCCTTCTCTGACGTCATGTACAACAATGGGCTCGTCGATCTCCTCCACCAGGTACAAGCCCAACTCTGGGTCGACAAGCTGAACAAAGCCCACGAAAGGGGCCAGCTCTGCCCGTGGGTCTCGACCTTTCATCCTAAGAGACTTGCCTGTAGACTCGAGGGTACCTTCCACCACGGCTCATTCAATGCTGGCGTGTAGATGGTCTTCAGCGACGGCACGGCCTGGATGGTCCGCTTCCCTCGTGTAGGGAAGGTCCACGATGATGAATATGCCGACGAGAAGGTTGCTATAGAGGTGCGAGCCCTTAGCCTCATCCGCAAACGGACTACCATCCCCGTCCCAGAAATCCAGGCGTGGGGTTCCGCTGCCGACAACTCGCTCGGTCTGGGTGCGTTTATTATGATGGACTTCGTCAACGGCGTGTGCCTCAACGACCTTCTCACAGATCCCAATGAAGCCGAGCCCACGAGACTCTTGAGAGAGGACATCAGCGATGGCGATATAGAGGTCATCTACAGGCAGTTTGCGAACTTTCTGCTGCAGCTGTTCAGCCTCGATTTTGACAGCATCGGCAGCCTGCCGTCGCCAGAGGCTGAACCTGAAAGCCCCATGCCGAAGCGCCCACTGACATACAAGGCACATGACATTCTACATAATGGAGGAGTTGATGTTTTTGGTACGGCTTGTCGCTCTCGTGTCCCTTCTCATTCGTGCACTTTTTCTCCCCCAAGGCCCTATCCTAATCGAGTGCCTCAACTGAGAAACATGGTCTCTAGGTGACCGACGCCAAGGGTTCGCGACGACGACAGAGTACTTTCAGTACCTCCTAGGACAGGACTTCGGGCAGCTCACTCACCAGCCAAACTCGATTTACGGTCCTCATGACGCCAGAAGCAGGTACCTGGCGTTCGAAGTTCTGAAATCGCTACTGCCCGACCTCATCAACAAGAAGTATGACGGTGGGAAGTTCAAACTGATTTGCGACGACCTCGGCCTGGCAAATCTAATTGTCCGAAGCAAAGAAGACCTTAATATTGTGGGAGTGGTAGACCTCGAATGGTCATACGTCGGGCCCGCCCAGCTGTTCGGTTCGGCGCCGTGGTGGCTTCTCCAAGATAGACCCATCAATGAAGAGTGGGAATGGCAAGATGGCAAGCCGCCTAAGCTCGCCAAGCGGTACTTTAAGTACCTCGATATCTACAAACGCGTCCTAGAGGAAGAAGAGGCGAAAATGTCAGGGCACGAGGAGAGGGAGCTCTCTAATCTCGTCAAGTGGTCGCAGGAATCGGGGGCCATGTGACTGCACATGCTCATCTCGGTCGGCTTCAATGATCATCGTAGCTTCCCCTTCACGCAGCTGCGCCAACATGTGGGTGAAACGAAGTGGGAGAGGCGTAAGGCCGAGTTTGGGACGCTACCAGAGGTTGAGGCCTTTGTGACGCAGAAGACGCTTAAGTTGAAGGAATATGAAGCAGCCAAGGACAAGTTGGAGAGCGACAAAGCGCTCGTAGACGGTGGGCAGATGACGCGCGAGTTCCTCGCCACGTTCCGATGCAGCCTGGCTGTTTGACAAATTTTTCATTTTCTAGATAGGAACGTACCATTTCTGCTAGGCATGCGGCAAGCTGCCCTTTAGCAAGAATGTGCCTAGAGGAAGTGAAGGAATGTGGGAGAGCTGCGATTTTGGCCGGAAACAGGGGCTTTCAGTGAAAATGGCCCGAGCTGAAATAGCCTACGGGCTTAACCCGGTCCGATTCTCGGTCACGTGATCTAGACGACAGCTGCACTCACCGCTCTCAAGAAAACCCGGTGTATCTGCCACCGCCTTTCACAATCCTTGCTGTGCAACATCAATTGGAATCCCTTTTTTTGCTGGTCAAGCGCAGCCAAGTGAAGTGGCATAATCGCTAGTCCGACGGCGAAGCGCCCAGCTGATCCGCTTGAAGTTTGAGCTTTGGTTCTTTGCATTCTATCCAGACATGGGACCTGAGCAGCGATGACGGTACAGTTTAAAACATACTCACTCAGCGAGCCTCGGTACTCGGCGAGGATCAAGAACGAAGAATGGGAGCGGCATCGCGAAAAGCTCACGAGGCTACATAGTCAAATCGTCCCCCGGAAGCAGATGCTCGACAAAAAGCGAGGATGGTTTCAGCCCATCCTTAGGCCAACTGAATGCTCGTTTCAATATCTGGGGTTTGCGGTGCTATGTTAAATCAATATCAAAGTTTGTGCCCCCGTTGAAAGTCTATGCCAGGATCTCGGCCAGGATCAGTCATCCACTGAGCGGTGCTACAATGACAGAATCACCCTGACTTCTAGCATGCTGACGACGGTGAACCGTATAGGGTGCATCTCGATCGACCCGATGAAGAGCACGCCGAGGTCGGGCAAGCTTGCGGTCAGCCCATCGGGGTTAATTACGCCACTGTCGGGCAATCGAGTGACGAGGAAAGTTCTGAGAATGGCACTGGAGTCTTGACACCATGCAGAACGCTGAGCAAAGTCTCAACTTCATCCAGTATGAATCGAATCTCCGAGAGGCTAGAACGTAGAGAGTAACCGTGCTAAAGTGGCGAACGATACTCCTTCTGCAGTGACCTCGCCCACGCATACACGGGGCAGACAGGAAGCTACGTTACCATATGCCGTTCAACGCATTCAAATGCCAACGGATATGCAAGCTACCAACGGCATCTTACGATGTGTGAACGACTTTGCCTCGTTGATATTGAATGAAAGGCAAAAAGAGCCCTTTTCGTTCACGCTTAGACGAGAACAGACGGCGAATCAACAGCCTAGAGAGGATATCCGTCGACTGCAGATCAGAAGGTGTATCAACGCCATAGCCGAAGCCTATGAGAATGCACATTATTTTCTGAAGCTTGGCGAACCTTCGAAGGCCATCGAGAGACTTAATGATGCGACGCAGACGGCGCCGACCATGTTCGTCGATCCAGACCTCTTCCTACTCACTAGACTGATTGAGATTGCCACTTGGTCAAAGCTGGAAGAAGTTCCCCGAGTACGAGCCAGTCGTGTTTCGATTCCTAGCTGCTCTTGCGAGAGAAGGATTAGGTCCACAGCACCCTCTTACGCTGCTGTTGGGCTGCTTTTCAAAGGCTGCGGCCATCAGCACGTCGTACCCGACTCTCTGGATGTGCGTGATCGACCATATCGACCAAATGGCTGATGATCAAGCGTCAAGAGACGAGGCCCAGGAAATTCGAATCAAGGCCTATTTCTATCTAGTCCGCGTTCTGCGAAACAACGGAAATCATTTCGCGGCGATACAGCGGTGTCAGGAGCTCATACAACTCTGCATCACCATCGATGGTTTTCGCTCTTTTTCAGCCAATCGCGCCAGATACAATCTCGCCGTAAACCATTGCGAGGCAGGCAACTTAGAGGCTGCCATGGAAGCGTACGATGAAGCACGAAAATATCTGAGAACGGCGGATTGTCCCTATGAAGGCTGGGTATTTGCAGCGTTTGCAACTAACGAGCTTGCTCAGCTTCACGAGCAGGAGGGAAACATTGACAAGGCCGGCAAGTACTATGAAGAAGCTCTTGTGGGTTTCCTTCAATGTGGAGGTGACGAGAGCTCGGGTGCCCTGTTAATGCTGAAAGACTTGATCGACTTTCATAAACGTTACGGCCACGAGGAACAGCTTAGCCGGGTCCAGACACAGTACTCTGCTTGTTGTGCGCTGCTGTTGGCAGGCCGATTGGATGATGTACGGCTCTGGGTGGGACGCCGAGTCACAACTCAAGCATCAGGAGGGAAGAAGTATCGAGCCTGGACGCGGACATCTCCTATTGCCTAAGATATTGTGTGATTCGGCGCTTCTCTGCCTTCTGGGAGGAAAGGAAGAGAACTATCTAAAAACAGAACTTAGTTTTTATAACGTACTCTACCAGCGAACCCTCTACACTACTAAACTCCCTAAAAATGCCAAGCCTCTACTAAATGCTACTATCTTATTTAGATTACTCTAACTCTAAGCTGCTTAAGATAAATCTAGATAAGCTATCTAACTTATCTATATTATTTTTAACTATCTAGCATGTTTATAAATTATACTCTAGCTTACTATAGCGTCTATAGCATCTATAGCGTTACTAAGCTAGCTAGCTATTATATACTACTATCTTTTTACGCTACTTCTTACTCTTATTCTAATTTATAGTCTCTTTTTAAGTAACTAGCTATAAGCTAGCTTTAATTATAAAAGTATTCTTTTTCTAAATCTACTTTCTTTTACGCAAATTATACTTCTTTTTCTATACGTTAGCTACTTAAAGCTAGGTAACTTTAGACTTTATAAGTACTAGCTAATATACTATTAGCTTAATATACTTTATTACTAAACTCTCTATATTACTAAACTCTCTATATTACTAAACTCTCTATATTACTAAACTCTCTA